TTCTAAGTGCAGAGCAAAGGGGAGACAGGACTTAATATTTTAAGATCACTCTTTGCTGCTTTGAGGAGAATGGGTCAGACAGGCAAAGAATCAAAGTTCTTTGGGAGAGAGAGACCAAAAGAGAGGATGACCGGGTTGCATGTGGCAGGGGAGGGAGGGGTTGCGGTGGGGAGTGTGGAAGGGTTCAAGGACATGACATTTACATTGGGTCTTGAAAGAGAAATGTGAATTGGGGTGTGGGAAGGGCAGTGAGGAGACCAGCCAGGCAGAGGGAACAGCAGAAGCAAAGGCAGGGAGGTGTGTAGCCCCTGCTGGGAGAGCAGTAGGGAGGTAGTGTAGCAATGGTCTCATACCAGAACCTGCATCCCCTTTACTGTTCTGAAATGCAGTTTGCAGGTGATATAATTACTTCCACAAATAATTTTAAAAAACTATTAAACTACCCAGCTATAAAATACAGGAGGATTTAAGAAGTGTGTGATTTAATGTGTAAATATTCAAGCGTCACTATACTAGAAGACGTAATGAATTAATCAGATGCTTGTACCTACCTATAAGGGAAAGGTTCAGTTTTGAAGAGTTAAGATAAAATTCCATAGAATATTTCCAATATTTTATATTTAACATTTTGAAATGAGGCTAAATGAGTATGTTTGTAACTATACACATAGAGTCACCATGTTGAGACGGTACGAGCACAGACTGATATTGGTGTGTACATTGCTAAACCAAATATCATACGAGTTTCAATGCTGCTGGTGACTTAATTTTTCAGAACGGTGAACAACTCTTGATGAAGCTGCAAGAACACAAAGTACAATCCTCCCTCAACTTAGTAATTGTGTTTCTAGAAAATTCAGTATGTGTTAAAACCATGCAAAAGTCCTTTGAGGATATATGAAATTAAGAGTCAGAGCTCTGGGGCTTGCCTGGTGGCGCAGTGGTTGAGAGTCCGCCTGCCGATGCAGGGGACACGGGTTCGTGCCCGGGTCCAGAAAGATCCCATGGCCGCTGAGCCTGCGCGTCCGGAGCCTGTGCTCTGCAACGGGAGAGGCCACAACAGTGAGAGGCCCACATACCGCAAAAAAAAAAAAAAAAAAAAAAAAAACAGTCAGAGCTCTAACCTCAGGTAACTAAGATCAGATTTTCCAGTGTTATGAAAATTGTGCAAGATACAAAACTTCTGTTGTTTTGTTGAGCTGTATCCCTGACCCCCATCCACTGAATACCAAGGCACCCCCCTCCTATTTATTATGACAACCAAAAATGTCTCCATGTTTTTTAACAAAAGGACAGAACTGTCCCTCAGTTTCCGCATCTGTACAGTAGATATAACTACCTTCAACCTCATAAGGATTAAATGAGATGATACATAGAAAATGTTAGTGTTGGGGCCTGTCCCACCATATGGATTCAATAACCTGATAGTTAGCAGCTGAAAATATAGGTTTAGCAGTTGAAAATATAGATTTAGTCGTAAATAAAAGAGAAGTTAGGACTGGAGATGAAGGTTTAGGAGTCATGTATGTAGGTTCATTTAAACATTGCAAAGCACCAGGCAGAAACTTAACATTCAATTTAAGAGGGATAAAAGTAGGGTCCCATGGCCTTCTCCTAAACTCTATAACGTCAAGGATGAAGAGATACGGCTAGGCAACAGTTCATAAGAAAAAGGCAGTCAAGCCTAGATTAGCCATGGTATAATTCAGCTGCTTTAAAAAAAAAAAAAAAAAAGCACTGTCTGACAGTGTATTAATAGTGTAATGTCCAGGGCTTCCCTGGTGGCGCAGTGCTTGAGAGTCCGCCTGCCGATGCAGGAGACGCGGGTTCGTGCCCCGTTTCGGGAAGATCCCACATGCCGTGGAGCGGCTGGGCCCGTGAGCCATGGCCACTGAGCCTACGCGTCCGGAGCCTGTGCTCCGCAAATGGGAGAGGCCACAACAGTGAGAGGCCCGCATAACGCAAGAAAAAAAAAAAAAAAATAGTGTAATGTCCAGATCATGGAATGTTGAGACCCATATGCAAGGTACTACATAGGCTCTGTCTGGGGTTCATTCTGGGAGCCAGGCTTTAAGAGGGCTGTTGACAAAGGTAGTCAAGAGGAGAGAAACTGGAAGGAAAATTTAATGCTACTGAGTCTAAATATTTGAAAAAAATGATAAAGGAGAAGACCATTTTTCAGATAATTTAAAGACAACAGTTTTTGGCAGAAGAGAAAATAAACCTGTTGTTTGTGGAAAACAAATCTAGGACCTTCCTCTGGAAGTTACAAGAAAGCAAATATTGATTTTGTAGTAAGCAATCAACCAGACGCTTGCTCTTTTCAGGGATGATGTAGAATCGAATTTCATGGATAGAGATGATTTCTAAAGACTTTTTCAACTTTTGAAGTGGATGTGGGGATAGACTCCAGGACAGATCACCCCACCAGTCACCTGTGTTAGTTTCACTGATGTGGCTGCCTAACAGGGTTACTTGTTTCTAGCAAGACCCAACGCAGATTCCTCCTGGGCCTGCACTCATTTCAGAGATTTGACTAACTGTAAGTAGCTGAACTCAATTGGCAAGAAATCCCAACTCTCAAGAGCCTGTGGGGAAAGAAAGCCAAAATAGGTAACACTCAATGCTATCTATTTTCTGACAAATTTACTCTGACTTTCTCTCTGCCACTTGCCCCCAAACCCTTCACCCTCTGGTTTTATCAGCCAGTTTGCAGCTGAAGTTTAGGTCACCCTGATCTAATCATTCCAAAATAATTTTTCCTTTTTTAGTCATTACTGTGTTAGATAAGAGGTCAAGGAAGCCTCACGGCAGTTTTTCATATAATCTCCCCCCGACCTAGTAGAAAAACTTTCCTTCTGTGATTCTTTCTGAAGTAGAGTGCTCTAGAACAGTTTCTCACCTGGGGTTGGTCCACCGACTCCCTCAAAGTGTATGTGAAAGTGTGTGTGTGCGTGTGCGCTCACGTGTGCGTGTGCGTTCATTTCTCTGAGGAGAGGGATATCGGCATTCATTAGACTCCCAAAGGGGTGTATCTGTAAGAAGATTAAGAGTCACTTAAACCAGCCTCTTCTTAGGTAAGACAGATCCCCATTTTTTGTTTTTATATTGCGTGTCTTTCATCTACCTTTAGTTAAATTCCAAACTGAGGTGTGGTGAATTGTTCAACAAGGACCAGGTTCATTGGAAGCCTCCCTAAGCTCCCTGCTTGGACCGGGAGCCCCTCTTCTGTGATCTTAGAGCACTCTCTGCTCACTGCTGTGAGAGCACTTTCTGCATTATATCGGAAGGGTCCATTTAGGGGACTATCTTCCATTATGAGATTTGAAGGGAGGGCCTGTGTTGTATTAATTTTCATATTCCAAACATTTAGCATCATACCAGGTATGTAATAGATGCTCAAAAATGTTCTTGACCTGAACAGTTTACCCATAATAAGCCAACAGATTCTTCTTTCCCACCCAAGCAGCCAAGGTTTTAAGCACTTAACCTGAGCCAGGTATTATATTAGGCATTGGGAAAACAGAGGTAAGCTCCCTTCATGGAGCATATGGGCTATATCCAGAGGGGACATGATTTTTGCCACCCCCTGGAGCTGCTGCATTTGAGCCATATGCATTTACAATAGTGCTGACCTTGCAAAAATTCCCCTTTTTATAACAGATATTAGTTATATGCACATATTCTATTTTTATCACTCAAAACAAAAATGAAAAAGCTTTTTTCTAGTCTTCCTTAAAACCATCCATTAAAAATGTCTCTCCAAAATCTTTCTCTTTGAGTAGTGTTAATGCTTTGCCTCCAGAAAGAGAAAAGTTTGAAGATACTGAGTAGTGTCAGCATTTAGGACCATGTTCTGCACATAGAGGTGTTTTTTGTTTTGTTTTTTAAAATTCAAAAGGAAAAATTCATGATTCAAAAAAAATAAAATAAAAAATAAAGCAAAACTTTCCTGTCTGGTGTGTTCTTTTTCTTTCTCAGCTTATACATATCTTAAATTCCATGGATTTGAGTTTATGTCAAACTGTGTTTGTAGTCCTCTAACTTTTATTTAAAAGCAGGAACCCCCCCTTTTTTCAAACTTAAATAAAATCAAGCAGAGCAATTTGCTGAAAGAAAGAGCCTTTGCTGCTATCCCCAGTGCCCTAACGGGATGCCAGGGAGCCTGGTTTGAGAACTACTGGACCAGATGGTATTTATGGATCAGTAGTTGACTTGGGCAGGATCTGTCCACAGAACTAGACATAAGGAGTGCCAAGTTGAAAGCACTGTGCTGTCTCTTGTTTCAAGTTCTTCACTTAAAGAGTTAATGACCTTGAGGAGCATAGCAAAAGTATTTCAAAAGATAGGCTGTGTCTCCCCCACCTGGAGACTCTAGTTTAGTAGGTATGAACTACTATAGATGCTCCAGCATCTATAATTTTAAATAACTCCACTAACCTAGGAGAAGCCTTCTTTCATGTGGTCTTTGAAAGTGCAAAAAGTTAGTACATTACTTATGCCTCAAAATATCTGCACTGCTTAGAGGGAATGTGCCTTTTTGGATTACTGAGTTAAGCTTCAGAGATTTAAAAAAATACTTCTATTTCCATTGCAGTCACTGTTCCTGCTGCCTGAGCCACTTCCCCCATATATCTGCATAACTGTGTCTAGTGTTTATTGTCAGTCTCCAACCTCTGAAATGTAAGCTTCATTTGGGTGGGTGTTTTTGTCTATTTTGTGCATTGATTCATCACATGCTCTAGAAGAGTGCCAGGCATGTTATAGGCAGACAGTAAATATTTGTTGAATAGCTACTATTAGTGGGGTTATTCAGATATGTTATTGGTTAAAAAGACTTCTTGAATTGCTCTGGAAACCTAACCTCTTCCATCTATAGCGATTTCTGTAAGAGAGTGTTCCAAGTACCCAAAACCAGATGTGTAAGTGAAAATGTGTAACAGTCCTATACAACAGAGTTGGTTGGTTTTTGATGGACTGTGACTTTATTTTCAAAACAGGATGTGATGTGGTCTGACTTTGGGTTTCCTGGAAGAAATGGACAGGAAAGTACATTGTGGATCGGCTCCATGGGGGCCCATACACCCTGTCATCTGGACACCTATGGTTGCAACCTAGTATTCCAGGTACAAGGAAGGTAATGCACATGTGCATGCACATGCATGAGGGAGAGAGAGAGAGAGAGAGAGAGAGAGAGAGAGAGAGAGAGAGAGAGAGTGTGTGTGTGTGTGTGTGTGTGTGTGTGTGTGTGTGTGGGCACAGGAAGAGGAATGAGTGTCGGGTAGGGGGCAGGACTCCCTGCTCCATCCTATCAGCCTGCCTCATGACCAGGGCAGATCTCTTAACCTCTGGTTCAGTCTCCTCCTTTGTGAAATAAGGGGAACAGTATAGATGGTGGTGTCTGTGTGTTGTGTCTCTCAGCCATGGTCAGGATTACTGTCAGAAAGCTGATCCTAGAACTCTAGGAATACACTCCCAGTTCAGCTAGACAGTTGTCTGCTTAGCTCTATAATGTAAGAGTCTGCATTAGTAGCTGTAGAGTGTAGGGGGTGGGACTTGCTCTCTTGTTTTAGGAGAACAGTGGGAAAACGATGACTGCTCGTGCCCACAGGCTTCAGCGGTGTGGCATGAGATTGCCTCGTCCGTGCACGCGTGTTGGCTTTTCAGGAGCAGGAGAACGCTGTGACTGCTCATGCGCATCAGCCCCAGCCAGGGGGCAGGGCTGTGTTGAAGCCTCCCACACTCACAGACTTTAGCTAGGGAGCAGGAGAATGCCAACGGTTTGTGCCTACCTGCCTGCGCCAGGGCTGGGGAATTGCTCTGGTCACTGGAGCTCTCTGGCTTCAGCATTGTGGCAGGGTAGAGCCACAGTTGCTCGCCCCTGCATCCGAGCTTGCCCACCTGTGCCCGCAGGTTAGGTGAGGAGCACAACAATGGCATCTGCCAGTGCTTCCATCCCGGGGGAGCATTTCCATCATTTCCCACCCCTTCGGTGGGTACTCTCAGATTCTAAATGACTTTCCTTCACACGTAGTCTCAACACTTTTCAAACTGCTGTTATTTTGCTAGGGTTTGGGGCAAGTGAGATATACGTGAACCCTTTACGAGGGGAGTCTCAGTTTCGTGTAGTACTTGGGGACACTTGGACACCTGTCCTGTTGGTTTCCTAAGCCAGCTGTTACGGGGGCTCATCTCTGTGGTATAGATCCCAGGGGCCGGGGCTCCTGATGTGGGGTGCCAGCCCCTAACTTCCCGGGAGAAGCCTTGTCTGGTGAGGTCCCTTCCTGTTGTGTGCCACCACGTGGGGGCTGGGGATTTTGGTGGGAGCGTCTCTCTGCCTCTCCTGCTCATCTCATTGTAGTTAGCCCTTTTTATTCTTTATTGTGGAGCACATGTTCAGCTAGTTCTCAGGTTCTTTTCAGAGGGAACTGGTCTATATGTACATGTGTATTTTTTGTGTCTGTGGGAGGAGGTAAGTTCAGGGTCTTTCTCTGCTACCATCTTTGAACTGCTCCCCCCACGTGTGAAGTACTTGGAAAACTATAAAACTGTATGAGATATAGTTCCTCCTGGATTCCTCAGGTCTTTATTACGCAGCCTAGAACGTCTAGGTACGTTATTAATGCACTATGGTTACAGCAGTGAATCAAGTGTGCCTGGTCCCTACCCTTATGGAGTTAATAGTCTGAACCTTAAACTTCGTTAGAGAGGACATCATTTTAAGTAGCTGCTTTCCATGTGTTCTGAGTGGAGAAATAAGCCAAAGAAATTCAGTTGGAAAAACATTACCAAAAAATACCTGGGTTCTTTCTGTGATATAAAATTAATATAGCTTTACTTTAACTTTCTCGTAGACCATATTTTCTGGCCTCATATAGCTCTGGAGTAATAACTAACTATTCAGGAAATATTTATTGAGTATCCTGCCATGCAGATACCATGTGTTACAGTAGAAACAGGTGAACAAGTAAGACACCTCTCTGCCCTAAGAGAGTGTATGTACAGTTAAGAGTGCAGGGAAGCCCACGGATTGCTGTGATATATGTAGGCAGAATGAACATGCCCTTGAGGAAGGTTTCGTAGAGCCATGCAACTGAAAAGTAGAAGAGAAAATGTTCCTGTTGGAAAGATTAGGGAGGATTTCAGAGGGGACTTGCCATTTGGGATGGGTTTCAAAGGGTGGGTGAATGTTCAAAAGACACAGGTGGGAGGAGCAAAGGGACCAGCATGAGCAGAGCTCCAGGAAAGCATGGGGTATATAGAGGGCCCAGTGAGTTGTCCGTGTAAGTTGTAAATTAGAGACAGAGGGATTAGTAGGAAAGGCAGGGTGGAGCCTGAGGGGCTTAATGCCCAGGCAAATACTGCTTATTCTCTTGTTGTTTCAGCATCAGAACCAAGAGGTTTTTGAGCCAGGGATGACATGATGATTGACTACCTTTTCTGATTAAGAACACAAGGATGCAAATATATTACATTTTAAACTTAGCAAAGCAAATTGTGTGGGATGGTTATCATCATGGCTGTTCCTTTGGGAAACACAGCTGTAGTGCTGGGGTCTGGAGATCTGTGACCTAGTACTGGGTCCACCACTAACACAAGCCCAGTGAATGACGCTGAGCAAACCCTGGCTCCCTCTTCCACTTCTTTGAATGTAAGATTAGACTGATGATCTCTTAAGGGTCCTTCCAGCTCTAACATTCTAAACATCCTAAATGCCAAAAATTCTCCCAAACTAGTCATAGGTCCAGTGGGAGGGAGCAGCTTTATCATCTCTAAGGCAAAGTAAGACTTTATATTTCCTAGTTTGAGAAGAGCAGTCAGCTCTTTTGAAAGGACATGTTTTGAAAGGAGATAATGGCCCCTCTGTAACCGTCAGGGGTCACCAGAGGGCTTTAGGGCTTGTCTCAGAACTAGGTGCTTTTCCCTCTCTCTTTGCTTCCCCATCTGTGTATTTCTGTCTGTCTGTGTCTCTTCCTTTTTCACACTTCTCCCTCCTTTGCTTCAGATGTCCTCCCTCTGTTGGCTCAAAGTATTGGTGTGTCTAGTGTTTTGTGAGTTAAGGTTTATCACTTCCACTTTTCAAAAAATTTTAAAGTGACTGAAACATTTTACAGTTTTCTTTTTGAAAATTCCTATATTATACTTCTTTTTAGTTGTGTGGCATCATTCGTGCATTTCTCTTCCTTAATGGATCAACTTAACAAATGTTTAGGTTAAGGAATTTACAACCCCAATAGGGAGAAGTCTGGAAACTATTTGGTGGGTAGTTACTCTGGATGAATGGTTACTCTGCATAAGAGGAATCCAGAGATTTCAAAGGGTAGAGACTATTCTGGGGAGCTCTAGACTCAGGGATGGAAACAGTTTATGAGGAGGCTGACTTTGATTTGAGATAAGAAAGAATCATCTTACAAAGGAGCTCCTGTCCCTGCAAAGAGGCTGCTCAGGGCATCATGAGATACCCACTAGTTGCTGCCCTTCCTTTACCAGGTGTCTGCAGAGGAGATTCCAGCCCTGAGTGAGAGATGGGCCAAGTGACCACTGCGGTTCCTGTATTCCTTTATGGATTGAATGAAAATGACTGAAAATGAGCTCTTAGCTGCTGCCTTCTTACATGTTTTGTCTCAAGTTTAGAGTACTAACTTGTATCTTATTTTTTTAACTAGGAAAAGATGGCATCTCTTTCCTCCTGAAGACACTCCTTTCCTTTATCCAACTAGAATCCCTTATGAAGAATCTAGCGTGTTCAGTAAAATCAATGTTGTCAATCCTGATTTAAAACGTTTTCCTCAATTTTGGAAGGCTCGAAGACATATGGTTACCCTGAGCCCCGGACAGGTAATGGGAGCTTTAAAACATTGGTGACCTGTCAGTGGACACCCCAGCTATAACTTCTTTCAAGTCTTTATGCCACGTGCCTCCCTATCAATACAAATGACAATGGTTCCTTCCCTGCTGCTCTGCTATTGGAACGTAGCTTCCCCAGCTATGGGCTTCACGCACAATCCCTGCTTCACAGGTCATGGGAGGGAGATGGGAGGAGGGAACACAGCTCCTCCTGCTGGTGAAGAGGAGAATGGCCTGTGGAGGAAGATCCAAAAACTCGGTTATTTTTATTCGGGTTAGGAGAAGGTGTCAAGGCATGAGTACTTGAACATTTCTGGAACATTTATTCACAATTAATATCTGTTCAACCACGATAAAATCCAGACACACAAACACAGGTTCGAATGCATCCAGTTAGTGGGCCAACAAAGGCAGAATGAACTAAGAACGATTTAGGGTTTTTTGTTTGTTTGTTTGTTTTAATTGAAGTGTAGTTGATTTACAATATTGTGTTAGTTTTTGGTGTACAGCAAAGTGATTCAATTATATATATTTTTTCAGATTATTTTCCATTATAATTTATTGCAAGATATTGAATATAGTTCCCTGTGCTATATCGTAAATCCTTGTTGCTTATCTATTTTATGTATAGTACTCTGTGTCTGTTAATCCCCCACTCCTAAGTTACCCCTTTCCGCATAACCAAACATGATAATTGTAAGTTTGTTTTCTATGTCTGTGAGTCTGTTTCTGTTCTGTATATAGATTCATTTGTATCATGTTTTAGATTCCACATATAAGTGATACCATATAATATTTGTTGAGAATGATTTGCTTTTAAGCAAGAATGGATGTTACTTTTGTAACTGACTGTCCCTGAAACATTTCCAAAGGTTTAGTACTTAGTGCTGCTACCCAGTGGGGAATATCACCTTTACAACACTGGCATTTGCTGTCTGATATTTTATTAACATTTGCAAGGTTTTCTTAGTCTCTTAAGGAGATTTTATTCCCTTGATTATCCCTCTGACCTGCCTGTGTTCCTTCTTTTGCTCCCTTCTCACTGGATCTTCCTGCTTCCTTTACACTCGAGTGCTCCAGCTCGAACGATTTCACTAAGTTTCCTCAACCCATCAGCAGTCATTCCCCATTCACCTATTCCCCCCAGCCCTTGACAACCACTTCTCTGTTTTCTTTCTGTATAGATTTACCTATTCTGGACATTTCACATAAGTGCAGTTGTGCAGTCTGTGGACTTCCGTGTCCGGCTTTTTTCACATCGCATAATATCCTCAAGATTCATCCAAGCTGTAGAATGTTATCAGCACTTCATTCTTTTTTATGGCTGAATATATTCCATTATGTGGATATACATTTTATTTATCCATTAAACAGCTGATAGATATTTGGATTGTTTCCACTTTTTGGTTATTATGAATAATGCTGCTATAAACATTTGAGTACAAGTTTTTGTATGAGCATATATTTTCAGTTCTCTTGGGTATATATGTAAGGGTGGAATTGCTGAGTCCTATGATAACTCTTTGTTTTTTAACTTTTGGGGGAATTGCCAAACTGTTTTCCACAGCAGCTGTACCATTTTACATTCCCACCAGCAATCTATGAGGGTTCCAATTTCTTCACGTCCTCACCAACACTTGTTATCTTCCTTTATTATTATTATATTACTACAACTATAGCCATTCTAGTGGGTGTGAAGTGGCTGCTAATTCTTTTTTTCTACTATTTTAATAACCAAATTCGAATGAGTATTTCTGTCTATTGTATCAGTTTTCCTTACATCATGCTGTTTCCTGAATCCACCATAAACTGGCTCTCTCTCTTACTACTTTACTTGAAAGTATACTCTATGATAGGACATTAATGACCTCCTAATGACTAAATCCAGTGGCTGAAGTGGACGTTTTTAGTCCTCTTCACTTCACTTTAGTTCTCTTAAAAGGAGGGCTCTTCCCATCTCCACCTTGTCCATAGCAAGCGCCACCATTTTCCTAAATCCGAAGCCCAGAAGCTTCAGATCATCTCCATCTGCTGCACTCAGCCTTCCACAGACTCTTGTAATGACTCTGGATAAATGCAGTCCTTCTTGATTCTGCCCATTGCTTTTGTTTGCTGTATCTTCCTATTTAAATCTTAACATTTAATTTAATAATTGGACCATTGCAGGAATCTCCTGTCCTTCCCAGACTCTCCCACAATGTCACTGTTTTAACCATCCCCCTACTCAGAACTTCTCAGCAACTCAAAATGCCTACAGGATAAAATCCAGATTCCTTATTCTGAACTCAGGGCCCTCCACTGGCCCTAACCTGATTCCCCACTTTATTCCCCTTTACTCCTTCTGCAGTAGTAAGACTGGCCTACTTGCTGTCCCTTGACAGTCCCACCTCCCTTGCCCACTTCTCCATCCTGGCATGTCCTCATTCTCTCTTAGTCCTGGTTCAAATCACACTTCCTCCATCCAGGTTGCCCCTAACCTCCCTAGAAGCATGCCTGCTTCTCCCACCTCTGAAGGTCTCTAGCACCAATGACCACTCCTCTGATTTACCACTTACATAATTTATAAATTATATAAGTGGTAAAAAGTGATTTACCACTTTTCTATATATTATTTTTTCATTGGCTAGATTTTAGACTGTGAGAAGGCAGAAACCATGTCCTATGTGTTTACCTCTGCCCTTTCTCAGAACTCATACAACTATTATGTGATGGAAAGGAGAAAAAGTTACAATCTCAGAATCCTTTACTAAGATTTGGATGCAGACAGAGAAAGTCCAGGATAAAGGAGAGTAGAGACTGGAGAAGCTAGTAATATCCTTTGGAGAACATGCAAACTTGTTAATTTAAGAAAAGGAATAAAAGGATTGGAGGTTTTTTTTTCTTGTTTCCCTTTCCTATTACAATATTAGTATAAATTCATTAGCGTTTGTTTATTTTCCTTAGCAGCTTCATTTAAGATCTGATTCTGACATAAAAATAAAATGTTCTGTTCTTGTGCTAACCATTTTTTGTTTGGTTTTCAGGTTCTGTTTGTCCCCAGACACTGGTGGCATTATGTGGAATCCATTGATCCTGTCACTGTCAGTATAAACTCATGGATTGAGCTGGTAATTTTTTTTTTCTAACAAATGTAATCTCCCTGCTTTTAAGATATACAGTGCCTGTCTATAGAACTTGGTGATTAATTTTCACCAACACCCTAGTGTTACTTTGTTTTACTGTTCCATAATTTATGTATTCTGCGCTCTGTTGATGAATAGTAAGGTTGGAAATAGGATTTTTGTGACACACCATTCTCTTTCTTTCAAGGGCACAAAATGGGCCCTGATGTTGGTGTGCCAGGTCTTCTCCCTTGACCGGTGTTGTTAGGAGAATCATGTTGGGCCTGGCTGGATCTGCCACGTGTGTCCCACGTTGCCAGTCCCATCCCCCACCATCTGGGCTGGAGATACTTGCTTCTTTGTTCAGTGTCCTCATTAATAATTGTAGAATTCTCAGTCCTGACTTACACATTTTCTCAGAGCAGTCTTTCAGTGCTAGGTGTTATCATTTTATTTCTCCCAAAGGCTTTTCCCCTCCAATATGCTGTGCTCAATCCTGGTTGCCTGCTCTACTTGACTATTAGAATGGCTACTCTTATGGCTCAAGTCTGTCTCTTCCCTCTGAGGTGTCATTACATCTTTGTATGCTTTAACCAGAGGCTTTGACTGCACCTGTGCCCTCATTAACCTGAGGCCTTGAATGCATCTCTGCTCTCCTGTACCCAAAACCTTGATTGCATCTCTCTCCTCTCTTTGGCTGCCGCACCCTCCCCTCACTCAGACTTTTCTTATCCTTAGATAATGGGAAGGGCTTTGGCACAGGGGGAGCATAAGGAATACTGTAACAGGAAGCTCTGTTGTGTGGCTTAGAAGAGTCGTAACCCTTGGGTGAGAAGTATGATGGGAGATCAATAGACTTACAGTTAGAAATTCTGCTTAACTGATTGCCTTGCTTGGTATCCCCCTTTCTGCTCCAGTGTTCAGAATGTCCCTCTGAAAAGAAGTTGGTCAATTATAGTACTTAAATCATTTATTTTCTTTTTCTCAGAGATCACATTTTTATGTTACCTGTAGTCCAATGTCTGAAATACTTTAATAATATGTATTTGTCTAGTTTTCCAGTTATCATAGGAAAGTAATTAAGTTACTTTTACTCTATCACAGCCAGAAGTGGACATCTCAGTTGAATCATTTTTGTGCCCATTATCTGAAATATGTTATTAATGTTACATTTTTTCAAGATAAGATTTCTTTGTCTTTAAGGGTAGTTAACATACTGTTCTTTAGCGCATGGTCTTATACATATTAAATTTAAAAATACTAGGTGCAGCGCAGAAGGAGAGCCACTGCAGGCCAGCTTCTCCAACTCTGAAGGCACTCCAGGGATTGGAAACCATGAAATCCAAGCATAAAAGTGAATGGCTTAATTTGCTATACCTGAAATCATCTTCAAGTGTTAATTAAAATTATCCACAGAGGGCTTCCCTGGTGGCGCAGTGGTTGAGAGTCCACCTGCTGATGCAGGGGACATGGGTTTGTGCCCCGGTCCGGGAAGATCCCACGTGCCGCGGAGCGGCTGGGCCCGTGAGCCATGGCCGCTGAGCCTGTGCGTCTGGAGCCTATGCTCCGCAACGGGAGAGGCCACAACAGTGAGAGGCCCGCATATCGCAAAAAAAAAAAAAAAAATTATCCACAGAACACTGAATCAAAATGAAAATTAAACACATATATAGAGAAGCAAGAAGAGCTACAATCCTGCAGCCTGTGGAATGAAAAACACATTCACAGAAAGACAAAATGAAAAGGCAGAGGGCTGTGTACCAGATGAAGGAACAAGATAAAACCCCAGAAAAACAACTAAATGAAGTGGAGATAGGCAACCTTCCAGAAAAAGAATTCAGAATAATGATAGTGAAGATGATCCAGCACCTTGGAAAAAGAATGGAGGCAAAGATTGAGACGATGCAAGAAATGTTTAACAAACACCTAGAAGAATTAAAGAACACACAAACAGAGATGAACAATACAATAACTGAAATGAAAAATACACTAGAAGGAATCAATAGCAGAATAACTGAGGCAGAAGAACGGATAAGTGACCTGGAAGACAGAATGGTGGAATTCACAGCGGGGAACAGAATAAAGAAAAAAAAGAATGAAAAGAAATGAAGACAGCCTAAGAGATCTCTGGGACAACATTAAACGCAACAACATTCGCATTATAGGGGTCCCAGAAGGTGAAGAGAGAGAGAAAGGACCCGAGAAAATATTTGAAGAGATTATAGTCAAAAAATTCCCTAACATGGGAAAGGAAATAGCCACCCAAATCCAGGAAGTGCAGAGAGTCCCAGGCAGGATAAACCAAAGGAGAAACACAAAGTAATCAAATTGGCAAAAATTAAAGACAAAGAAAAATGACTGAAAGCAGCAAGGGAAAATTGACAAATAACATACAAGGGAACTCCCATAAGGTTAACAGCTGATTTCTCAGCAGAAACTCTACAAGCCAGAAGGGAGTGGCACAGTATATTTAAAGTGGTGAAAGGAAAGAAACTACAACCATATTGTAGATTATTCTACCCAGCAAGGATCTCATTCAGAGATCCTCGGAGAAAGCAAAAGCTTTGCAGACAAGCAAAAGCTAAGAGAATTCAGCACCGCCAAACCAGCTCTACAACAAAGGCTAAAGGAACTTCTCTAAGTGGGAAACACAAGAGAAGAAAAGAACCTATAAAAACAAACCCAAAACAATTAAGAAAATGGTAATAGGAACATACATATTGATAATTACCTTAAACGTGAATGGATTAAATGCTCCAACCAAAAGACACAGGCTGGCTGAATGGATACAAAAGCAAGACCCGTGTATATGCTGTCTACAAGAGACCCACTTCAGATCTAGGGACACATACAGACTGAAAGTGAGGGGATGGAAAAAGATATTCCATTCAAATGGAAATCAGAACAAAGCTGGAGTAGCAATACTCATATCAGATAAAATAGACTTTAAAATAAAGAATGTTACAAGAGACAAGGAAGGACACTCCATAATGGTCAAGGGGTCAATCCAAGAAGAAGACATAACAATTATATATGCACCCAACTTAGGAGCGCCTCAATACATAAGACAAATGCTAACAGCTATAAAATAGGAAGTCGACAGTAACACAATAATAGTGGGGGACTTTAACACCTCACTTACAACAATGGACAGATCATCCAGACAGAAAATTAATAAGGAAACAAAAGCTTTAAATGACACAATAGACCAGATAGATTTAATTGATATTTATAGGACATTCCTTCCGAAAACAGCAGATTACACTTTCTTCTCAAGTGCACACGGAACATTCTCCAAGATAGATCACATCTTGGGTCACAAATCAAGCCTCAGTAAATTTAAGAAAATTGAAATCATATCAAGCATCTTTTCTGATCACAGTGCTATGAGATTAGAAATAAATTACAGGGAAAAATACATAAAACACACAAACATATGGAGGCTAAACAATACATTACGAAATAACCAAGAGATCACTGAAGAAATCAAAAGATACCTAGAGACAAATGACAATGAAAACACGACAGTCCAAAACCTATGGGATGTGGCAAGAGCAGTTCTAAGAGGGAAGTTTATAGCAATACAATCCTATCTCAAGAAGCAAGAGAAATCTCAAATAAACAATCTAACCTTACACCTTAAAGAACTAGAGAAAGAACTACAAACAAAACCGAGAGTTAGTACAAGGGAAGAAATCATAAAGATCAGAGCAGAAATAAATGAAATAGAAACAAAGAAAACAATAGCAAAGATCAATAAAACTAAAAGCTGGTTCTTTGAGAAGAAAAACAAAGTTGACAGACCTTTAGCCAGACTCATCAAGAAAAAGAGGGAGAGGACTCAAATCAATAAAATTAGAAATGAAAAAGGGGAAGTTAAAGTGGACACTGCAGAAATACAGAGCATCCTAAGAGACTACTATAAGCAACTCTACGGCAATAATATGGACAACCTGGAAGAAATGAACAAGTTCGTAGAAAGGTGTAACCTTCCAAGAGTGAACCAGGAAGAAATAGAAACTATGAACAGACCAATCACAAGTAATGAAATTGAAACTGTGATTAAAAATCTTCCAACAAACAAAAGTCCAGGACCAGATGGCTTCACAGGTGAATTATATCAAACATTTAAAGAAGACCTAACACCCATCCTTCTCACACTCTTCCAAAAAATTGCAGAGGAAGGAACTCTCCCAAACTCGTTCTATGAGGCCACCATCACCCTGATACCAAAACCAGACAAAGATACTAAAAAAAAAAAGAAAATTACAGGGCTTCCCTGGTGGCGCAGTGGTTGAGAGTCCGCCTGCTGATGCAGGGAACACGGGCTCGTGCCCCGGTCCAGGAAGATCCCACATGCCATGGAGCGGCTAGACCCGTGAGCCATGGCCACTGAGCCTGTGCATCCAGAGCCTGTGCTCTGCAATGCGAGAGGCCACAACAGTGAGAGGCCCATGTACTGCAAAAAAAAAAAAAAAATACTAGCAAACAGAATCCAACAACACATTAAAAGGATCATACACCATGATCAAGTGGGATTTATTCCAGGGATGCAAGGATTCTTCAATATACACAAATCAATCTATGTGATATACCATATTAACAGATTGAAGAATAAAAACCATATGGTCATCTCAACAGATGCAGAAAAAGCTTTTGACAAAATTCAACACCCATTTATGATTAAAACTCTCCAGAAAGTGGGCATAGAGGGAACCTACCTCAACATGATAAAGGCCATATATGACAAACCCACAGCAAACATCATTCTCAATGGTGAAAAACTGAAAGCATTTCCTCTAAGATCAGGAACAAGACAAGGATGTCCACTCTCACCACTACTATTCAACATAGTTTTGGAAGTCCTAGCCAAGGCAATCAGAGAAGAAAAAGAAATAAAAGGAATACAAATTGGAAAAGAAGAAGTCAAACTGTTACTGTTTGCAGATGACATGATACTATACATAGAGAATCCTAAAGATGCCACCAGGAAACTACTAGAGCTAATCAGTGAATTTGGTAAAGTTTCAGGATACAAAATTAATGCACAGAAATCTCTTGCATTCCTATACACTAACAATGAAAGATCAGAAAGAGAAATTAATGAAACAGTCCCATTCACCATTGCAACAAAAAGAATAAAATACCTAGGAATAAACCTATCTAAGGAGGTAAAAGACCTGTACTCAGAAAACTGTAAGACACTGATGAAAGCAACCAAAGATGACACAAACAGATGGAGAGATACACCATGTTCTTGGATTGGAAGAATCAATATTGTGAAAATGACTATACTACACAAAGCAATCTACAGATTCAATGCAATCTCTATCAAATTACCAATGGCATTTTTTACAGAACTAGAACAACAAATCTTAAAATTTGTATGGAGACACAAAAGACCCCAAATAGTCAAAACAGTCTTGAGGGAAAAAAGCGGAGCTGAAGGAATCAGACTCCCTGACTTCAGACTATACTACAAAGCTACAGTAATCAAGACAATATGGTACTGGCACAAAAACAGAAATATAGATCAATGGAACAGGATAGAAAGCCCAGAGATAAACCCACAGATCTATGGTCAACTAATCTATGACAAAGGAGGCAAGGATATACAATGGAAAAAAGACAGTCTCTTCAATAAGTAGTGCTGGGAAAACTGGACAGCTACATGTAAAAGAATGAAATTAGAATACTTCCTAACACCATACACAGAAATAAGCCTCAAATGGATTAAAGACCTAATGTAAGACCAGACACTATAAAACTCTTAGAGGAGAACATAGGCAGAACACTCTTTGACATAAATCACAGCAAGATCTTTTTTGATCCAACTCCTAGAGTAATGGAAATAAAAACAAAAATAAACACATGGGACCTAACGAAACTTAAAAGCTTTGCACAGCAAAGAAAACTATAAACAAGACAAAAAGACAACCCTCAGAATGGGAGAAAATATTTGCAAACAAATCAACAGACAAAGGATTAATCTCCAAAATATATAACAGCTCATGCAGCGCAATAGTAAAAAAAAAACAAACAACCCAATCAAAAAATGGGCAGAAGACCTAAATAGACTTTTCTCCAAAGAAGACATACAGATGGCCAAGAGGCACATGAAAAGCTGCTCAACATCACTAATTATTAGAGAAATGCAAATCAAAACTACAATGAGGTATCAGCTCACACTGGTGAGAATGGGCGTCATCAGAAAATCTACAAACAACAAATGCTGGAGAGGGTGTGGAGAAAAGGGTACCCTCTTGCACTGTTGGTGGGAATGTGAATTGATACAGCCACTATGGAGAACAGTATGGAGGTTCCTTAAAAAACTAAAAATAGAACTACCATATGACCCAGCAATCCCACTACAGGGCATATACCCAGACAAAAACATAATTCAAAAAGACATATGCACCCCAGTGTTCATTGCAGCACTATTTACAATAGCCAGATCATGGAAGCAACCTAAATGCCCATCAACTGACAAATGGATAAAGAAGATGTGGTACATATATACAATAGAATATTACTGAGCCATAAAACGGAATAAAATTGGGTTACGTGTAGAGACGTGGATGGACCTAGAGACTGTCATACAGAGTGAAGTAAGAAACAGAAAAACAAATATTGTATATTAATGCATACATGTGAAATCTAGAAACATGGTACAGATGAATCGGTTTGCAAGGCAGAAATAGAGACACAGATATAGAGAACAAACATGGACACCAAGGGGGGAAAGCAGGCAGGTGGGGAGTGGGGGGATGAATTGGGAGATTGGGATTGACATATATACACTTATATGTTTCAAATAGATAACTAATAAGAAACTGCTATATAAAATAAACCTTTAAAAATACTATACATGAAACAAAAAGAAAGAAAGAAAGAAATTCTGCTTGCAGCAGGCTGTATTGGAATCAGAGCAAATATCAAGGTAGAGTGCATGGGAGTTCACTTCCACTCCCAGGAGTTCACTTCCACTCCCAGTGCCAAAGTCACATCTACAATAGCCTTACAGTTGCTTTGCCTCCCAAGATAGCTCATTCCATCGTGGAGCTGTCACCTGCCTGCTTGTAACCATACCCATTACTTCTAAAACTACAGAATTTTTTTTTCTGTTTTAACTATTTGAAGGGGACATTTTTTATGGCTGGCATCTTTCATTCAGCATAATGTTTTCAAGAATCATCCATGTAGTAGCATATATCAGTACTTCATTCCTTTTTTTTATGGCTAAAAAATTTTTTATTGTACAGATATACCACATTTTGTTTATCCACTAATCAATTGATGGACGTTTGGGTTGTGTCTACTTTTGGTTATTATGAATAATGCTACTGTTAACATTCGTGTACAAGTTTTTGTGTGGATGTATGCTTTCATTTCTCTTGGTATGTACCTAGGAGTGGAGTTGCTGGGTCATATGGTACATCAGCCAAGGCAGGCCAACAGGCTGGAAATTCAGACGAGTTAAAGTTGCAGTCTGGAGTCCAAAATCTGTAGAACAGGCTGGCAGGCTGGAAACTCACTCAGGATTTCTGTTGCAATCTTGAGGCAGAATCTCTTCTCCAGAAAACCTTAAATTTTACTCCTATGGCCTTCAACTGATTGGATGAGGTCCACCCACGTTATTGAGGATAATCTCCTTTTACCTAAAGTCAGCTGATTATAAATGTTAATCGCATCTACGAAATATCTTCACAGCGACATCTAGACTAGTGTTTGACCAGACAGTTGGTCACCATGGCCTAGACAAGTTGACTTATAAAATTAACCATCTGGTAACTCTACATTTAACCGTTGGGGAATTGCCAGGCTGTTTTCCAAAGCAGCTGTACTGTTTACATTCCCACCAGCAATTTGTGAAGATTCTGATTTCTCCATATCCTCACCAACACTTGTCATTATCTGGCTTATTATAGCCTTCCTAGTGTGAAGTGGTATCTCATCCTGGGGATTTGCTTTTTTTTTTTTAATATTATGTTTCTAAGATTCATCTGTGTTGTCACACGTAGCTGGTCATTCATTTTCACCATGATATAATATCCTCTTGTGTTAATGTACTACAATTTGATTCATTTTTCTATTGATGGATAGAAATGGGTTGTTTCCAATTTCTTTTGCTTTTATAAATAGAATATTCTTGTACACATGTGCAAGAGTTTCTCTAGAGAATATGTATATATGTATATATCTAGGAGTGGAGTTGCTGGTCTGTAGGGTACACAATACTCAAGTTTATAAAATAATGCCTGTATGTTTTCCCACCATCAACAAGATTTCTGTCAAGCACTCTCCACCATTTGGAATTATCAGACCCTCTTGCCAGTTTCATGGGTTTCCTGATTTGCATTTCCCTGATTATGAATGAAGCTAAGCCTATTTTCTTGTGTTTTTAACCCTATAATTGTTCTTTTTTTGACATGTTTGTCTTCATTTCTTAGCCCATTTAAAAAAAATTAGGTCATTTGTCTTATTGATGTGTGCAGAGTCTTTATATATTCTGCATATTCATCTCCTATCACTTATATATATTACAGACATCTGGCTTGTCTTTTCCTTTATGGTATCTTTTGATGAACAAAACTATTGATTTTAATGTAATTTATCACTAGGAATTCCCTGGCAGTCCAGTGGTTAGGACTCTTCGCTTTCATTGCCGAGGGCCTGGGTTCAATCCCTGGTTGGGGAACTAATATCCCACAAGCCACACAGCGTGGCCAAGAAGAAAAAAAAGATTGCCAAAAAAAGAAATTTTCTTTTTTTTTTTTTTGCGGTACGTGGGCCTCTCACTGTTGTGGCCTCTCCCGTCGCAGAGCACAGGCTCCAGACGCGCAGGCTCAGCGGCCATGGCTCACGGGCCCAGCCGCTCTGTGGCATGCGGGATCCTCCCGGCCCGGGGCACAAACTCGCGTCCCCTGCATCGGCAGGCGGACTCTCAACCACTGCACCACCAGGGAAGCCCGAAAATTTTACATATATATACACATATATATATAATGTAATTTACCATTAATACCATAGTTTATACTTATTGTCTCTTTATAAAGACATATTTAGATATTTGGTCATCTCATTCTTGTGGCCAAGAATATTTATTATAATTATTTCCCATTCCTCAAGTAATTAGCTTATCAAAATGATCCTCTATAGCCGGGGTCCCCAACCCCCGGGCCACGGACCGATACTGGTCCACGGCCTGTTAGGAACCGGGCCGCACAGCAGAAGGTGAGCAGCGGGCAAGCGAGCAAAACTTCATCTGCCGCTCCCCATTGATCCCCATCGCTTGCATTACCGCCTGAACCATTGCTCATGTTACTGCCTGAACCAATCCACCCCCCACGTCCCGTGGAAAAACTGTCTTCCGTGAAACAGGTCCTTGTGCCAAAAAGGTTGGGGACCACTGCTCTACAGGGATTATTCCTTTGTATGTAATACTCTTTTTTTTTAACTTTAAACATGTCAGAGAATGGAAAATATTGGGAAAAACATCACAAGGTGGTTCATACTTAATAAGGTCTATGTCTTATAGACAGGATACACACTTAAATTTGGTTGGTGAAATATTCTAAAACTCTTCTAGATGGCAGAGGAGAGTGAATACATAAAAATTGTGGTCTGCCAACAATATATTCCTTCAGTAACAAAGCTTATGTTAATGAGAGAACAGAACACACAATTAAGAGACTCTACTCTGTCTTGGGCTTCCCTGGTGGCACAGTGGTTGAGAGTCCGCCTGCCGATGCAGGGGACACGGGTTCATGCCCCGGTCCGGGAAGGTCCCACATGCCACGGGAGCCGCTGGGCCCGTGAGCCGTGGCCGCTGGGCCTGCGCATCCGGAGCCGGTGCTCTGCGACGGGAGAGGCCACAAAGTGAGAGGCCTGCGTACCGCAAAAAAAAAAGAGAGAGAGAGACTACTCTGTTTTAAGCAATGAGACACAGAGACAAATGAAAAACATGTGTCTTTTTTTAACCTTGATTTAGGAAGAGGATCACCAAGCCCGGGTAGAAGAGGCAATCACCCGCATGCTTGTGTGTGCCCTGAAAACTGCAGAGAATCCACATGATACGAGAGCTTGGTTAAACCCAACTGAGGTAGGTCCTTTCTGGTTTTCATCATGGCAGTTAGTATCCTGTGATGAACCAATCCTGGCTGGAACATTTGTTTTCCAATTTATGTAAGTGCATATAACCATTCTAAAGAGTTTTTCTTTTTCCTTAGGTCGAGGAAACATCCCATGAAGTCAATTGTCGCTACTTAAATGGAGCCGTTTCTGCTTTTTTTGATCATTATGGAAAATCTAAGGTAGTAGAAACCCAAGCGCTGAGCACAGACAGAGAGTACGTGATAAAGGAAGAATTAAATGTGCACAACCACGTGGAGGTAGAACAAACTAGTAGCCACAACTTAACCTTGGGAACAGTAAAACAGGAGGCAGCAAGTCCCTTTGGTCCTGATCTGGTTCCTGTGATACCAGGTTCCCAAGAACCACCCTCAGAAAGAGGAGGCATGTTTGAAAGTGATGGTGAAGACTTTGTTGGCAAAAATGGAAAACGCTTTGGAAAACTGCATTATACCAAGAGACAACGAATGATGAGTGAAAGTGAGAATGCAGTTGTGGAACAAATTGCTTCAAATAGTACTGTGGCCCCTTCCCAAACATTCATTTCTACAGATGACTTGCTGGATTGCTTGGTGAATCCACAGGTAACCAGGATAGTGGCACAACTTTTGATTCAAGGAAGAAATTTGTGACTCTAATAGAAAACAACTTTTTCAATAATACTTTAAGAATATTTTTAAAATAATAGAGTTTTAAAATAAAAGATGAAATGGCAAAAGGTCAATTTGCATATGCTTATAAATGTCCTGTTCTCACCTAATTAACATTTTAGTCTCTTGCCATCTTTTTGCATACACATTGCTCTTTGGACAACCTGGCTCTTTGTTATTGGTAGGCCTCTTTCTTCAGTGCCTTTGCCTTTCCTTTCCTATCTCATCAGCCTATCTCAAATGTAAGCCCCTAGTGTTCTCACCAAGAAATAGTGTCTCCATCAGCAGGGGTCACCTGCTGCTTGTTTTGGAAATAAGGTTGTATTGGAACACAGCCATGCCATTCATTTACATATTGTCTGTGGTGGCTTTAGGGTTACGGTGGCAGAGTTGATAGTGACAGAGGCAGTATGGCTCGAAAAGCTGAAAATATTTTAAAAGTTTGCTAACTCCTGATCTAATGCATCCATTGGGTGAATTCTAGATTTTTGCGGGGTAGGGGTGCGGTTGTTAATTTCAGTAGATATCATGGACTCTTTGTCATAAGATGGTGTGGGAAGATTAATGATTGTTTTAAGTTCTTGATCTCTTAATTCAAATGCAGGTTGAAGTCTAGCCTTGATCTGAAGTGATCACATTTCTCACATCCATAGATTTCTCACTGGTTAACCCCTGTAATCCAGAGCAGAATACTAATCAGGAGAAAAGTAGGTGGGGGCCCAATAAGAGGCCTCCTTGTGTAAGGAACTGGGACATCTAGGAACACCAGCCCTGGAATAAAAAGGACCAAATGCTACTGACTTCTGAAACTAACTAAAAGCTTGGCTTAGTGAACTTGATCCCACTCTCATTACATTTGCAATATGTGGGGTAATTATTATCATTACCATCTAAGTAAGAATTTAAAAATTATAAAAACATATTGAACTCAGTAACCATTCAAAACAGAAAAGATACACAAAGTCACCTTTTAAGAATTGACTACTGGCCCCATCCTTCTCAGGTCAAACTGATGGTATCAGTAAATCCCAAGAGAGTACGTACTTTCTGGGAGAAAGGAGAAAGGGAAATGAACATGCCCAGGAAAAGAAGGGTCTGAAAAAAGGCCCTTCTGTAGCACTTACCACCATCTGACCACTGTATATTTGCCTATTTATTTGATTACTATCTCCCCCAACGAGAATGTCACTGCATGAAGGTTTGGACTTTGTTTTGATTATTATATATTTGCAGGGTCTTGATCAGTGCCCAGCACATGGTAGGTGCTCCTTAAATATTTGAGTGGATTTTTTAAAAAGGAGACCTTGTTGGCCGATACTCCTTCAGAGAAACACTGGGGCAGAGGATGTTGTGGCTAAGGGTGAGATGTCTGTTACCTGTAGTAGGTATATCCCTATCGCAGAAATAGACATTTGTCTTCAGCTATACATTTTACACCTGCCCTCACTGAGAGCTCCCCCATACCCTCCTTCACACAGAACTCCCTCCCCCGCTCCCTTCCCCAGGGTTCCCTCACCCCCTCCCTCCCAGATATTTTATTATATTTGCTACTACTTGGACCAGTGTTTTTCAAGTTGTAGATTGTGACCCATTAACAAGTCATAAAATCAATTTAGTGGGTGAGACCAGCATTTTTTTTTAATGGAGCAGAATATGTAATTTCAGTGAATTCAATAGTAAATATAAGTATTATTTTGTGAAACTGTCCAGGAAAAATTTTTTTCAGAGTAAATATACTTCATAAATCTTTTCAGTTATATCTGTGTGTGTACTGGGCCTGATATAAAATGTATTTCTTAGTGTATGTTGGGGTCAGAAAGGTTTGAAAGCTGTTCTGAGGGCAAAGTATTGATTTCAGTTAGAGGTAATAGTTTCTGGCATGCAGAGACCTGGGTAGAGAGTTAAGACATTGATATGAATGCATTCGAAATGTAAATGGGTGTTGGGAGATAATTTCCTAATTTTGTAGAGATAGAGATTATGACACGGCAAGAGATCCTGGCTATCTGCAACTGGGGAGTGTGGGAAGGAGAAAAGACAAGTCAAAGGGGGAGATAGTCAGCCACCAAGTAGGGTCCCATTTCATCCTGCATTTCTCAGAAGAACCTGCCCGAATGAGTGAACTCAATTATTAAATAGTAATACTTTGACCCTCCAGAGGTTAGAGGGATTGAAGTGTTACTCCTAAAGTTACAGTATCCACGTATAAGCAGGGTGATCTATCCGGAAGGCAAAGTAGCTAGGGCCCTGGAGCTTTTAGGGTCTACAGAAATGTTTCAGTTTTGTTAAAAATTTTAAAAAAGAATATAATCTAGTTTCGATTACATTCATGTTTATACCAATGCAGTAGCGAAGTACCATGTTTACTACTTTTCATGGAGTAAGGGGCCTGCAAAAGGCAAAACTGCCTGGGGCCCATGAAAGTCCTAAGCAGCTCTGGGTATCAGGAATATCAGAATCATTTGAGGGGCTTGCTGAAGATGCAGATGTCTGGGTACCACTCTAGAGCTACAGAATTTGCCTCCTTTGGGATGGGCCAGATTTTGCAGTCTCAGCAAGCACCTGAGGTGCTTCAGATAGCAAAAATGTTTAAGAACCTTCGGCCCTGGAGTAGACCACCAAGACCTAACACAGGCTCAAAGTGGGCTTGTTTTAGCAGGGGCTACTTGTTGGGGTCAATCCGCCCTTCAGATTTACTGAACTAAAGCTGTACTGTGCCCTTCCTGTAATTTTCAACTGAATGCTATTGATGCTGTGAGGATCCCTTGATGCTGTCATGTTTAGTTGTGGTCTTTTATCAGCAGTGGCCTGTGTTTATCATCAAGCTCTCCTGTATTTGCCCTAAAGGATAAAGATGTTTAACCACCAAATAACATTTTCCAAGCATTTTATTCAAAAAGGAGGAAATATTTATTTTAAAAAATTTTTATTGAAGTATACTTGATGTACAATATTATGTGTTGCATGTTTACAATACAGTGATTCACAATTTTTAAAGGTTATACTCCATTTAGAGTTATTATAAAATATTGGCCATGTTCCCTGTGTTGTATGACATATTTCTTTAGACTGAGGGTAACTATAACATTTACGGACTGAATCATCATACTTGGTGCAATACACCCTGATATTCAGCCTTGCCTAAGTTAACCAAACCACTGGAGAACAAGAACAAATTAGAGAGCAGGTCTCTCCTTTTTTATTTCTTACATTCATTGTCAAGCCCAAGTTCAGATGCCAGTGGCTGGGAAGCCAATCCTAAACAATAAGAAGTCTTTGCCAAAAAAACAGCAACAGCAAGAAAAATTTCAAGACGTCTGTGTTTAATGAAGCAGCAACTACGGCCCCCTCAACCTCCTTTACTTGAAGTGCAGGCATTGTTCCCTGGGGCCAAGAAAGAGTGCCTTTATCCTCCTGGTGACCCCTAGCATCCAAGTTCATCATCTGTCCTGGCTCCCCATGGGCATAGTTCTGGCCTCTTGGCCTATAGAGCTTCAAATGAAGAGACTCTACAATGAAAACCAAAGCCAGAAGGGACAAGGCCAAAGAAATATGAGGATAATTCACAGATGGTCTGAGATATTCCTGAATCAGTAACATTAATCTAGAAGCCATGTTCTAGAGTGGGAAGAGCAAGGGGCTTGATGACACAGAGACCCAGATTCAGTTGCTGGCTCTGAGGCCTGTTACCCAGCTGACTTAAGGCAAGGAAGCTTCTTGGGTCCTGAGCATCAGTTTCCTCAGCTTTAAAATGGGGGTATAATTCTTACCCCACAAGAGTGTTTGGGGGAAGAAAATAAATACTGTTATGTGAAAGCACCTATTATAGTACCTGGTTAATGTAGGCACTCAATAAACAGTGTTAGAATCTGAAATTTACCTGAGGAAGTTAAAAAAGAAACTTTCCATTACTATCCTATAGCTACTGAGTTAGCAAATTAGTAATATGACTGCTTAATTCCTTTGGTTTATTTATGCACAAGGCTTTAAAATCATCAAAAGCCAGGCTGCCAAGGAAAATGTGCTATTTAATACCCTTAGATTCATTTAATCCTAACATAGTAGAAGGGGTTCATACTGAAAATATAGCAGGCATTATCCCTTTTTTCCACTGGGCAGAACTAAGACCATGAATAAAAGTTATAAAAAGGCAGATTTGGGTTCAACTTTAGAAAGGACCAATTGGAAACAGGGCTGCTGCACTGCACAACTCCATGGGGTACAGCTCACCTAGTCCCCAAGCTAGACCACAGCCCCCTGGACTGTGCAGGACATGGCTGCACTGCAGTCCCAGAGCCCTGACCAGAGCTGTCCCACATGTCCATAGGCTGCTTTGTGAAAAAGCTCCCTGCCATGGAATCTCATTGATTTGAGGCAAAGTGACAATAAGTCAAGGGCGTTGAAGAGATGGTTCCCACTTTGGTTAGGAGTCTGACAGGGCTTCTTCATTCTTAAGTGGTTTATGAAACACTTATGGAGCATCTATTGTACATCAGGCACAGACCTCAGCCCAGGGATAAAGAAAATTAGACACCATCCCTGCACCCAGGGAAGACAGCAGCCCCACCCACTTAGTAATACTGTGCTCCCCACAGCAGTTTGGAGTCCTGACATGATACCAGCTGTCTCTCAGTGGAAGCTGAAGTTATATCACTGTGTCCTCTGCCTTGAAGATTAATGTTATTCTTATATGTGGCATCTAGAAAAATGGTACAGATGAACCTATTTTCAGGGCAGGAATAGAAATGAAGACGTAAAGAACAGACGTGTGGACCTGGAGGGGGAAGTGGGGGTGGGATGAACTGGGAGATTGGGATTGACATGTATACGTTACCAGTGTAAAATAGATGGCTAGTGGGAACCTGCTGTATAGCACAGGGAGCTCAGCTCAGTGCTCTGTGGTGACCTAGATGGGTGGGATGGTGCGGGGGTGGAGATCCAAGAGGGAGGGGATATATGTATACACATAGCTGATTCACTTG